AGCCCCAGCCAACCCCGTGATGGGGAATCATTATCCCAGTGCTGCTTTGATTACTGAACCAGCTGCGCTTTGCTCAAGGCCAAAGGTGGTGCCATGCCTGCAGAAGGGCAGGAGCTGCTTTCCATGAATCACTGCTCCGAGCATGACAGGAAGGTGTGCCTGACTCAGGAAGAGCTCTTGCAACTGAGGAAGCCTTCCCAGGGCCACCTACACCCACGCCTATAGCAGATATAGAATGGTTTGTGCTGGAAGGGACCTTAAAGCTCATCCAGCTCCAACCCCTGCCACAGGCAGGGACACCTTCCACTAGAGCAGCTTGCTCCAAGCCCCTGTGTCCAACCTGGCCTTGAACACTGCCAGGGATGGGGCAGCCACAGCTTCTCTGGGCTCCTGCACACCAGGCAGCCCCCATTCACCCAGGGCATGCAGAGGAGCTGGATGAAGGCCCAGGACAGATGAGCAGCCCTGGCAATTCTTTTTATCCCTGTCAATATCTCCTCCAAAGTCATATCTCTAGATCTTTGGATGATAAAGAAGCAATTAAGAGTAAAGAACGGTTGAAGAGATCCCTCATGGATGAGTCTAGGGACAACACAGCACGATACCCTCTGCAGCCCCCTACTCCATCATGTGTTGTATGCACTCCTGAGTGCACAGTGAATTAGGCAGCAAGAGCTGGCCACAGGAGGGTGACCCATCCTGGTGACATGGGCCCTTGGGACCAGCTGTCCCAGCATCCTGTGATACCCATGGCCCAGTGCTACCGGAAAGAAACGAGCCCTTCACCAGGCAAAGGGAGCCAACAGCGCAGGTGAGGCAGGAGGGATGCCTCCAGAGTCAGGGAGTCCAGGCTGCCACCAGCCCTTCAATACACAGCTGGGCTGTGCAGGGGAAGAGCAGGACCAGCAGTCCATGTACCCCAGCATGGAGGGTTCTCTCCATCCTTCAACTTCAATCCCATCCCTCCAGCTCAACCAGGCTTTTCCCTGGGTAAAGAAATCCAGGCTAAGGAGGACAAAGTCTATGGTGAAAGCATGTTTCCACAGAGATGCCCTTTCAGCCATACCCATCAAGTTAAAGCTCTCCATGAGAACCTTGGGTTCTATGCCAAGAGCATCCAAGCCTCCAAGAGACAGAGTGGGACCATGGACAAGCCTCAGCTCTCTCTGTGCCTTTGTCCTCCAGCCTCAGCTGTGCTGCAGGAGTTGCTGTTGACTTCTCCAGCCAGGCCCATCAATCAGCACAGCCCTACAGCAGGTGTGTGGTACGGTGTGGGGCAGGTACGTGTAGGAGTAGCTGAGTGATGAGCAACGTGATGAGTAACTCCTCGAGAGGTCCTCCTGGCTCTGAGCAGCAGGAGGCTGCTCCTGTGCCGAGTGAAGGAGAACCTCAGTGGTCCTGGCAGAGCTGTAAAGTTCCCCCATATTGCGACAGCAGCCATTAGGGGACACTGAGGTTTGTGTCCTTAACGGTTCCTTTCCCCTAGACCAGCTTCCTTTGCACACACGACATTGAGAAATGAGACACCAGGCTCCTGGTGCTCAGCACTGCAGACTGACCATGGGCCAGCTCCCCTGCCTTGAAAGTGCCTGGCAGGGCTGGTGGCTTTGCAGAGGTTCTCACAGCAGCTTGGGGTCTAGGACAGTATGGACACGTCTAAGCTGGCATCCTGGGGGGGCACTGGGGATGGGCCACCGTGAAGAGCCATCTGAGCTGGGATCTGAGCCCTGGGCAAGTTGGGGCTAGGGACAGCCTGGCCACATCCTTATCTGCTGGCAGGGAGAGTCCTCTCCATGGCCTGCAGGTTCCTGTGTGTTCTGATGAAGGCCTCCAGAGGTACAGGCTGTGGTGTGGGCTGGAGCGTGAGGAGGGCTGGCACATGTACAGCACTGGCCAGGTTGTCCTCCCCAGCACTGGCCAAGGGATGAGGTGGTCTTTGTGCAGCAGAAAGCTGAGCTCCAATTCTCAGCACTGAGAGGAGCTTTGTGGGAGGCAAAAACCTTGGTGGGTTTCAGGGTGCCCAGGGCACCGATGCACCCCATGCCTTTTGCAGCTTTGCTTAGGGAGGGACTTGATGTGCTGAAGCGGGGTAAGATGGAGTGGGAGGCAAGACAGTGCAACGTGTCCTTCATCTCCCCAAGAGGCAGCATGGGGCCCTACACTGCTGAGCCACAGGGTGCTGAGCTGCTCCCAGTGAGCCCAGAGCCACCCCGCACCCAGCTCTTGGTGGACACGGGACAGAAGCCATCTGCAACGCAGCACCCATGGGTGTCTGCTCCGGCAGCACCCCTGCGGTCCAGCACTGCACACACTGGTGGCACTTCCAGCTCCCAAGCCCAGGCAGGGTGGGTGATGTCTCTCCTGCCACGGGGATTGGGCTTGGAGCAACTCTCCCAGAAACAAGAGAGCTGGGTAGAAACCACACAGCTTCTGTCCTGCTCCCAGCCGGAAAGGGAGGGGAATCCTGGTCCCTGAGTCGTTTGTTTCTTATCCGGGATAAAACCAGGATTTTTAGTACCAGGATTAACTGTCCTGGTAGCAAAGTCACTAAGTGTCCTGGGTTCAGCAGTAGCAGTCATTTTTCCCCTTCTTGGTAGCTGGTGCAAGTGCAGTGTTTTGACTTTCAGCTCGGGAACAGAGCTGATAACAAGCGATGTTTTGGTTTGGCCAAGGACTTTGTGAGCCTCATGCTCTGCCAGGGAGGAGGGGAAGCCAGGAGGAAGCAGAGACAGGACACCTGACCCAAACTGACCACAGAGGTATTCCATACCACAGCACGTCATGCCCAGGATGCAACTGGGAGTGAGCCGGAAGGGCTGGGAGACTACCGGGTTGGAGGAGGTATCGGTCAGAGCTTGGTCGGGCTGGGGGGGGCGAGTTATCGGTCGGCTGGTGGTGAGATGATGTATTCTCTTCCCTTGTTATTTCCTTTATCATTATTATCATTGGTGGTAGCAGTAGTGATTTGTGTTATACCTTAGTTACTAAACTGTTCTTATCTCAACCTGTGGGAGTTGCATTCTTTTTGATTCTCCTCTCCGTCCCTCCGGGAGTAGGGGGAGGGCAAGAAGGGGGGGAGTGAGTGAACAAGTTACCTGACTGGGTTTAAACCACGACACTAAGCTATGGGGACCAGCTCGCATACATCACGTTTTGTGGCCACTGTGTTCAGAAGGTGGCATAGTTTCATTCAGAACCCTCCCCCTAAGCCATGCAAACAGCAGCTGCTCTCACGGGCTCCTCTGCATGAGAAGTCTTCTCCAATGGGTAACGGCAAGTGAAGGAACCCCAGCCAGGCCTTCCAGCCCAGCAGCATCTCAGGCAAGGACACACTTGGCTGGCCTCCAGCCTTGTCCACCCTGTGCAGCTCAGGGGGATGGAGGAGCTGTGCAGCACACAGCTCCCACACTGCTGCACGCTGTGGGGTTTGGATCTGGCTTTCCATGAGTGCACCTTGAGGAGCTGCACACACACAGTGCACCAAGAGCCTTGATCCCAATGTGAGTCACTGGGAAGCACAGGCATGGAAATGCAGCTACATCCATCCAGAAGAGAAATTTGGGAAGAAAAGCACATTTCACTCAAATAAAGAAAATGTACTTCAAATGATTTTATTTGGGACCGTTTGGATTCATTCCTGACAATAGCTCTGGAAGCAGGAGTTTGTGATGGAAGTCTCTGGAGCCCACATTACAAAGTGGCAAATCAAACCACCAGTGCAAACATCCGCAGGACTACGTAGAGGATAATTCACAGCAAATTGTAGAAGGGGGTTTAGGCCCAAACCCAAACCCTGAAAAGGCAATGTCATAAATACCTGCTCAGTTGGCCTGCACAGAACAAGCACATGTGCTTTTCCTGAGGCGCTTCCCCAGGTCTCAATGGCAAAGAACCTCTTCTTGGCTTCGCACAAGTGGGAACGAGCCCAGGATTCCCACTGCACTTGGCCCAGACAGCCCCAACTGTCTTTTCCAGTGTGTGTTGCTTAATATATGTCAGTTGCTATTTTGGGCTTCCTGGGTAATGGGGTGGTGAAGGGTACCCAGGAGCAAAAGCAGAAGAGCTCTGGGGACGAGCCCCCACCAGCATCGCTGAAACAATGCCGTGGTTATGGCTGCAGCCTTCGAGACGAGCCCAGACAGACTCGCAGGGCACAAATCTCACTGGAGGTGCCAAAGGTGAGCTCAGGTATGAGCTCAGAAGAGCAATAGCTCAGGAACAGATCCAAAAAGGATTCTCTGGAGCATGTGGTGATGTAGGAGCTGGAGGGAGCAGAGCTCTGACTGCCCTGCAATTGGGAATGAGGAGCCACAAATCCTTTTTGCCCTTTTACACAATTACAAGGGCCTGTAGGGACAGGCCAAGGGGAATGGCTTTAACCTGCCAGAGGGGAGGCTGAGATGAGCTCTTAGGCAGAAGCTGTTCCCTGTGAGGGTGCTGAGGCGCTGGCACAGGGTGCCCAGAGAAGCTGTGGCTGCCCCATCCCTGGCAGTGTTCAAGGGCAGGTTGGACACAGGGGCTTGGAGCAAGCTGCTCTAGTGGAAGGTGTCCCTGCCTGTGGCAGGGGTTGCAGCTGGATGAGCTTTAAGGTCCCTTCCAACACAAACCAGGGTGGGATTCTGTGATTCTATGATCCTCTTAATTCTCCAGGGCACCCAGCACTGCCTCTGCTCTGCACACCACCAGCCAGGACCAAGAAAAATGAAGAGCTGAAGACCATGAGCCTGCAGGAGTGAGAGATGGTTACGTGTACTGCAGGGACAGTAACCCAGTTACTATTTCCTCCTCCTCACAGCGTCTCTTCTCATCTCACAACTCCTTAATGACAAGTATCCCAAATGAGCATGTGAGGAACAAAGCATCTCGCAGTTAATGGGAGGTTGCTTGGGCTTCGTAGCCCAGGCCTTATTCACAGAACATTAGGAACAAGTGAAGCATCTGGAGGAGAACGGGGACCACAAGGCTGCCATCCCTCTAGCTGGACCAGGACAAGGGCAGCCTGCTGCAATGCACTCCTCCAGAAGGCCAGAACTTTGCAAATCCCAAGAGCAGGACTTGGTCCCTGCAGTAAAGCATTACAACAGGTTGACTTTGGCCACAACCTGCTTGCAGCCCATCCTGGAGTACTGCTTATCCTCAGTAGTGTAGTAACTGAGCTGACTAGCTAAGTTTTCAACATGTTTCTGGTCGGGATACAGCCCTTCCCTCCTCATCTCCTCTAGGAAGCAGTTTATGACATGAGTCTTCTCCAGGAGGACAAATGGGATGATATCTGCAGACTTCCAGAGAGGGTGGGCATCGATCAGTACAGGCTGGACGATGCTCAGCAGTTCTTCAACTCCCCTCTGCTGACGCAGGATCTCAGCAGATGAATTCTGGATAACAAACTTGGTTATTTCACCACCTCCTATGTTGCTTATTAAAATGTAGATGGCATTGAGGAACTCATTGGTTTGATTGGGCTCAAAGAATCGGCTGAGAGTATCCAGCAGGACTGGAGACATGAGTTCAACCTCATCCAGAATAAACAATGGGATCTTCTCCTCTATTTCAGCTCTTGTGACCATGTCAGAGATCTTCTTAGACAAATCTATTTCACATGTAAGCGGGGCCATGCCGCTGGGACAGTGATGCATAACAAAGTACTGAAGCACAAAGTCATTGTCCATGATGGAACGAAAATGTTTGGCCAGCAGCCAGCCAACATGACTCTTCCCAACTCCTGTTGGGCCATTTAAAGAGATGACTAGAGGCTTGTTGTGTATGTGGGTAGCCAGGTAGTCTTTCAGCAATTCCATAATGCTTTCCACAGCAGCCTTCTGCCCAAACACTTCCCGGTGCATGGTTTTCTCCAAACCATCTAGGTCATATTTTTGGAGGTTATCATCCAGGTTCTCTATTGCATTGAGAATCTGGAAGAAGATAATGACAATGAGCAAGAGGAGGCAGCGTTTTGCCTTGCTCTTCTCCTCCGCTGGCAGGTATCTCTTGGTTTTATCTGGGTACAGCACTACCCTGGATTTCCTCCGGTTCTTTTTCCGCCTGCATTTTTTCATAGCATATTGCTCCACAGACGTGTCAAAGGTGAAGTACTGGGAACTTTCAAAGCTGCTCTGGTTAAAGAGGGACATGGAAGGGCCATACAGGCCAGTTCTGTTCAGGGAAAGCTGCCTCTGAAGCAGCCTCGTATGGACGAGCTCGGAGGGCTTCTCTCGGGGCAGCTCTAAATGCAGCCGGCTCTTCTTTTGCCCGCGGTACCGCCGGCGCAGGCGGATGATTGCTCGCAAGGGAGAAGAAATGGAACACATTTTTTTGGAAGCCCCAGGGGTTTCAGTAGCTGGTTCTTCTTCCTCCTCAGTCTCATAGAAAGATCCCTCTCCTTTGGCATCGCTTTCGGCACAGGGCATTTCCCCTTCCCCGTTGCCATCAGTGCCGGGCATCTCTCCTTCCACACTGCTCTCAGCACGAGGTGCCTCTTCTTTGAGGTTGGTCTCAGTACAGGGCATGTCTCCTGGTGCATTGCTCTCAGTACAGGGCATGTCTCCTGGTGCATTGCTCTCAGTATAGGGCATGTCTCCTGGTGCATCACTCTCAGTACAGGACACATCATCATCGCTCTCTTCACAGGGCTTCTCTCCTCCCAGATCCTCCATGGCAAAGTACACTTCTCCATCCGCCTCAGCACAGGGCAGCTCTTCATCCATCTCATCTGATTCTTACAGCTCATTCACATCATCTTCTGTCTAAAAAGAACAATGTAAAAATCAATCTTTGCAAGATTTTGAAGTGGCCATTGACAGATTAGAGAGATACCCCACCTTCTAATAGGCAGAACGGTGACCTGTACCCATCAACAATCACAAGGTGGCAGAGAGAGACTGTCAGACCTAAGCTAACTCTCTGGGAGATCGTCTAGACATGCAATACTACAGATGAAATCCAGCATAAATAAATCAAGTTGATGCCTATCACAAACCCAGCCCTGCCTTCGCATCCAGAAGGAGAGCTCAGAGCAGACTGGAGCCAAAGCCGGGGCTCTGCTCCGTGCTGCCTGGAGCAAGAGGCAGGACACGGGCAGACAGACCCAGAGCTGCCCAGTCCTGTTCCCTGCTCTATTTCAGCAGGACCCAAACCCACCCCAGTGCACCAGCACATGCACGTACACCTCTCGAAGGGACCTTGTCACCCACACCCACAGAGCCCTCACAGGTGTGCACGCAGGAGCAGCTCGCTGTGGAAACAGGGCTGTGGTGGCTCCACATCTCCCAGGGGGGGAATTCTTCACAGCACCCCAACCCTCCTACCCCTGCCCCATGAGCCCCCCACACACTCACACCCCTGCACACGCAGCAGCCGCTGCGTCCTTCCCACATGAGAACCGGGACAGGAGCATCCCTGGGGATAACTGCACGGAGAACGCACGGACAAACCTCGGTGGGCGCGCGCGGAGGAGGAGAGGCTGTGCTCCAGCAGCAGGGCTTCATGAAGGGAACCCCCCAAGAGGAAACATCTGCCCAGGGCTGGTGCTGCCACGCTGCCAGGACCCCGCACACAACCACCTCCGTGCTGCGGCGCCGGGACGGCTCTAGCCCTAGCCCTGCCCGGCACGACGGCGGCGGCGGTGGTGGCAGAAGCTGTGTCACAGTGGGAGGGCATTTTCCAGCCAGCTCAGGACCGCAGCGGCGCTGACGCAGGAGCAGTTTGACACCGTGACACTGCCAACCCCAAGAGCAGGAAGAGCAGAGCCGCCTTCATCGGCCGCCCAGGAAAGCTCAAGCCTCGGTGTTGCCGGCGGCAGCACGGTCCCTGGGCAGGAGGAGGAGGACCCAGGGTTCATCATTAACCTGCTTCAGCTCAGCAGGAAGTTACCAACCTGCCGAATGTCACGCTCCGGAGAAGGTTTTACTTCCCCAAGCACGGGGCTGACGCAGGAGCCGGGGCTGGGAAACGCTCCCAGCCACCTCTTCCCTTCACCCGGCTCCTTCCTTGGCTCCTCTCGAATGCCGGGATACCCCGAGCAAAGCTTCACCCCTGCCCTGGGACAAGGTGATTTCTGGACCATGTGCTGGCATCCGGCTTGGTTTGGGACCAGAGCCAGGGCCAGCCCAGCGCTAATCTGCTGTGGAGCAATTAGCCCTGCGTGTTAATTGCTGACCCCGTGCGGGATTTGCCCGTGCCCAGAGCAGAACCAGCCAGACGAGATTCCTGCAAGCAGGAGCTGAGCCACCGGGCAGCAGGGCTGGGGGCCACCAGGATGCCACTGGGAACACCAGGCTGTCCCCACAGCACCCTGGGGTCTCTCACTCACTTCTCTCCATCTCACAGACTCTGCCTTGCTCACACAAAGCCTGAAGGGACCCAAAGGGACCCAAAAAGCTGTCCCCAAAGCTGTTGGGAGCAGCTCCTGTGGCACAGACCAGCACAGGCCGTGGTCCCCAGGGAGCGCAGACACCACAAAGCTCAGCCTGGGGACAGGACAACACACGTGCATCCCATAAACAGTGATGCTTTCTCAGCCCCAAACCCAGGCAGGTGTCAAGGGGGTGACGGAATGCCAGGGGGAGCTGTGAGAGCTTGGGGAAAAGGTTTAGGGAGCAGAAGGATGCTGGCAGGGAAACACAAGACATCCCTAATGCTTCCCTACGGATGCTGCCGGCACACAGCAGGGTGTCACCCCCCTGCCCGAGCATGGAGCACTTCAGCTCCTCACAGCCTGGAGCTGACTCTCCTACCACCATTGTGTCCATGCAGGGCCCCCAAGGTCCCTGTGAGGCCGATGGAAAACATCGAGGACTGAGCATGTATTAGCCAGGAGATGCTCAAGACCCCCCTTCCCAAAATCCAAGAGCCCAGATAGCACATCCATCCCACCGGCACGGGGTGCCCAACCCTCCAGATGAGCTGAATCCATCCTCAGCAAGAAGTCTGTGCTGTCACCACCAAATAATCCTGCTGCACCCATGACTCAGTTCCTAATACCTGCTGGGATGTACAGGGACTCTTCTGGAAGAGCAGCCCCTTGCTTGCTCAATGTCAGAGCTGGGCCGGGCAGGCGGCGCTGCCAGCTTCCAGGGACGAGCCTTTGGCACCTTAATTGGGTGTTTGGGAACAACAGCATGGAAAGGAACCCAGCAGTAACGTCCAGAGCATCCCAGGGGCTCGTGTAAGCCCCGTCAGTCACTGCTCCGTGCCCGGTACCGCAGGCACACCGGCACCCAGCCCCTGCGAACCTCCGGCTTTCCTCCTTTAGCTCTTCCCATCACATCTGCATCCCCGTGTCACCCTGCGCCCGCCAAAACAAGGTTTCCACAACAGAGGAGCCTGCGTGGGCAGAGGGAGGCAGCCGGGACACGAGCGGGACACGGGGGCAGCCTCCGGGCATTGCGGGTGGGAATGAGGCAGACAGCAGACAGGGAAACGGGTCCCTGGTTAAAGTGCTGGCTGCTGAATCCCGAAGTTGGCACTGGGGAGGAGGGAGCTGCCCCCCAGGTGCAGGTTCCTTGGGTTAGCAAAGCTGCTGGGATAAGGGAACAGCTGGAAAATCCCAAAGGTTGATCCCCCCACAGCTGGAAGCTGAGCCCCTGCGGCCAAAACTGAGCCTTTCCAGGGGGAACGTGGAGGAAAACGGCCCCTCACAGCGCGAGCAGTGCATCAAAGGGTGTCAGGGGCCAACACCAGCGACCAGCATGGCCCCAGCACAGGGCACAGCCCCACGCCCCCAGCTCAGCTCCCCAGGGACACCGCTCGGAAGCAAGCTGAGCAGCACGGATTGTGCCCAGGGTTGTGTCGGGGCGTGCAGGCGCTCGCCCTCCCCAAAACCACCTCACAAGGGTGACACCAGGGCAACGCAAACCCCACCGTGCCACCCCGAAAGCCTGCGTGCCACCAAAGCCATCCAGCCCCGCTCCCAGCACAAACAATTGCCAATCCCAAACGCCAAGTGATGGGAAGGGAAGCAAGAGGAGGGAAGAGCCCTGAGCCCCTGAAACCAGCGGGAACGGGAGGGTCCCCATGAACCTGGGGTGGGTTTTGGTGCAAAGGGGCCACTGGGGACAAGCAGGAGGTGGTGGCGGGGACGGAGATGGAGGTGGCCGAGGCCAAGGGGTGCGCAGGGAAAGGGGAGCGGGACGGGGCCGCCGAACCGAGCGCAGTTACCGCAGCGTCCCCGCGGGTCCCCCGCAGCCTCGGCCGGGCCGGGCGCTCCTCTGCCCTCCCCAGCCGGCTGCGGCTGCGGCCGGGAGGAAATGGGGAGGAGGAGTGGCCCAAGAGGAACTTCCTTCTCCCCGCGCCGGGGGACGGCCGCGGGGCCGCTTTTCTCTCCCCTCTCTTGCTCAAAGCCCTCCTTGGTGCCTGCGTCACATCACGGTGGCATCGTGCGGGGAAACACCACTGGGGGCGGCTGCGGAGGGACCGGGATGGGGCAGTGGGATAGGGATGGAGCAGTGGGATAGGGATGGGGCAGTGGGATAGGGATGGGGCAGTGGGACAGGGATGGGGCAGTGGGATAGGGATGGGGAAGTGGGATAGGAATGGAGCAGTGGGATAGGGATGGAGCAGTGGGATAGGGATGGGGCAGTGGGACAGGGATGGAGCAGTTGGACAGGGATGGCGGCAGTGGGACAGGGATGGAGCAGTGGGATATGGATGGAGCAGTGGGATAGGGATGGAGCAGTGGGATAGGGATGGGGCAGTGGGATAGGGATGGGGCAGTGGGATATGGATGGGGCAGTGGGATAGGGATGGAGCAGTGGGATAGGGATGGAGCAGTGGGATAGGGATGGAGCAGTGGGATAGGGATGGGGCACTGGGATAGGGATGGAGCAGTGTGATATGGATGGGGCAGTGGGATATGGAGGGGGCAGTGGGATATGGATGGGGCAGTGGGATAGGGATGGGGCACTGGGATATGGAGGGGGGCAGTGGGATATGGATGGGGCAATGGGATAGGGATGGGGCAGTGGGATATGGATGGGGCAGTGGGATAGGGATGGGGCAGTGGGATATGGATGGGGCAGTGGGATAGGGATGGGGCAGTGGGATATGGATGGGGCAGTGGGATAGGGATGGGGCAGTGGGATATGGAGGGGGCAGTGGGATGAGCTCAGCACCCGCACAGCCTCCAGAGCCCCAAGGTCAAGGAAAACCTCCCACCCGTTGGGTGACATCATCCCAGAGCCCGTCACCAGTGAAGGCCAGAGCGATGATGCTATTGAGGTTATCGAAGCCGAACCCACAGCCCGGGGCCAAGGGGCCTTGCCAGGGGGAGCAGAAAGTGAAACTGGGAAAGAACAGTGAATCCATGTGACAGAGCCTGGGGGGCAAGCAGGCCCAGAGCAAGTGCTTTGTCTGTCGCTGGGCACTGCAGCAGCTCCTGCACCGCGGCCCTGCTGAGGCACAGGCACGTCCCTGCAGCACAGGACATGGGGCCAAGGGGGCCAGGCTGTGGGACCGCGTCAGGAGGATGCTGCGTGCACCCTGAGCCCTCCCCGTGCAGGAGCTCCCAGGGGAAAACCTCTTCATCCCTCGGCTGCACTGAGGGGCAGGAGGGGGAGGCACCGGGGGGGTTCTGAGCCCAGCTCATTGGGGCACATCCCCCCCCCCCCCAGCTCAGTGCTCCTCCAGCCCCAGTGAACCCCCCGGCACCCCCTGCCTCGCACCACCCGGCCCAGGCCCTGCCCTGAGGAACAAACCCGTTTGGCCGAGCCAGAGCAGCCTCCTGATGGGGTTCAACTTCCTGGTGCTGGGGAACCCCAGCCGGAACCTGCTCCCTGCCACAGCAGCTGCACAGGAGCAAACCCAGGAGCGGGGAAGGTCTGGGGTGCTCTGGAGCATCGCAGATCCCACCCGGGCTGCGATGCACACCAAGGTCCCCACATCCCCGTGGGGCCAGGATGCTCTGAGCAGGGCCCCCCCAAGCCTGGACCCGCAGAGTCTCTGCCGGGCACCGGACCTCGCTGGGGCTGAGGCTGCAGGGCTGCAGCCCTGGGGGATTCTGTGTCCGGAAGGAGCAGGAGCTCAGCTGGGGGGTGCCCGTCCATCGGCACGGAGCACCGGGTCCTGCTCTCAGGGTTGGGATGCGTGGGGCTGGACCCAAGCTGGAGGTCCTGCCCCAAGGAGCTTGCTCCTCCAGGGGCGGCCATGGCAAGAGATGGGCTCAGGCTAATTCCGAGTTTTGCAAGGGAGGAACCTCCCCGAGCACCGCTGAAACCGCTGGAAAACCCCAGCGATGCCCCAAGGACCCGAAAGGAAGCGGCTGGAGGGAAAGCGGCTCCCGGGCACCACCTGAGTGAGGGCTGTAAGTGGGGGCAGTGTGAGCCATCCCCAGCACCCCATGGGCAGCCCAGGGGGAACAGGGGCAGGAAGCCTCCAAAATGCATCAGGAAACTGAGGGAGGTGGAGGAAGGGCTCCGTGCGCGCCCTTTCTGGAGATGGGGGTTCCAAACTGCCCCAAGCTGCAGGCAGAGGGGCCGGGGGCCACGGCCGGAGGTCCTGGTTGTAGTGGGGACATGGGACCAACCTGCATGGGACAATGGCGCATGGGGATGGGGACTCATGCGGGGCAGCCTGACCCAGGGTGCCAAGCACGGCTGTGGGGTGCCCGTGCAGGTGATGGGGTGATGCATGCGGGGCGATGCAGGGCTGGCACTTGCAGCTGGGGATGGTGACCTGGTGCTGATGCCCATCAGCCTCCCAAAACCATCAGCTTGGTCTGGGGTGAGGCCAAAGAAGCCGGAGGCGCGCCTGGGAGAGCAGGAGGATGGGTCAGGGGCACCACTGGCAGCAAGAGGTGTCCCACATGGGGATGTCCCCCTGCTGTGGCCCATGGGGACAAGAGGCACAGGACCATGGAACCTGCTCATACTCCCGGCTGTGCTGCTGCTGCTGCCCCTGCCGCAGCCCTGGGCTCTGAGGACCTCTGGTACCCCAAAGTGGGGCAGCAAGCTGCCGTGCTGCTGTGTGCCATGGGGAGGGGATGTCAGGGGTAGGGGCACACATGTGGGCAGTGTGGCAAGGCAGTTGGGGGGCTGCATGGGGGGCAGTGCACCCTGGGGACCCCCACATGCAGTGCAGTAGGCTGTGTACATGGGGGGGGTGGTCTGATGAAGGAGGGGCACGCATGGGCATCAGAGCAGTGCAGTGGGGGAGTGGGGTGGGGGATACACACACCACGTAAGCAGGACAGCGGGGGGGGGGCATGCCTGTGCAGTGGGGCAGGTTACCTAGGCGGGGCTGTACGCATGCAGTGGGGCAGTGCAGGGGGGGGGGGCTCTACACATGCAGTGGGGCAGTGCAGTGGGGGGGGCTGTACGCATGCAGTGGGGCAGTGCAGTGGGTGGGGGCTGTATGCATGCAGTGGGGCAGTGCAGTGGGTGGGGGCTGTATGCATGCAGTGGGGCAGTGCAGGGGGGGGCTGTACACATGCAGTGGGGGGCAGTGCAGTGGGGGGGGCTCTACACATGCAGTGAGGCAGTGCAGTGGGGGGGGGCTCTACACATGCAGTGGGGCAGTGCAGTGGGGGGGGGCTGTACGCATGCAATGGAGTAGTGGGGGGGGCTGTACGCATGCAGTGGGGCAGTGCAGTGGGCGGGGGCTCTACACATGCAGTGGGGCAGTGCAGTGGGGGGGGCATGCATGCAGTGGGGCAGTGCAGTGGGGGGGCTGTACGCATGCAGTGGGGCAGTGCAGTGGGGGGGGGGGCTCTACACATGCAGTGGGGCAGTGCAGGAGGGGAGCTGTATGCATGCAGTGGGGCAGTGCAGTGTGGAGGGGCTCTGTGCATGCAGGGGGGGTGTCTGTTGCAGGAGGGGTGTGCACTGGGCCAGGCCTCTCTCCCCCCAGCCCCAGCCCCACTCACCGTGTCCCTCGATCCCCGGCCCCCCTCCGTGTCCCTGCGGGTGCCGGTGCCGGGACCCCCAAGCTGGGCCCCTGGTGGGGAGGAAGCGGCCGGGCTGGGCTGGGCCCTTCCTGCAGAGCCACAGATGCAAACCCTGCACAAACGTCCCCTCCATGGGGCACCCGCGGGGAAGGGTGGGAGATCCCCAGGGATGGGGGCACGGGGACCTCGGAGCCGAGGTGCTGGTACCAGCCCCTGACCAGCACCCCCCATCTGGGTACCCGCAGGTGATGGGCACCCCCTGGTCTGGTCCCCACCAGGAGGCATTGCTGCAGATGGGGGCACCACAGGGCCCATTGCTGCTGAGCACTGATTTACCAGGGCGATTTTAGGTCTTTCCTCCGGTTTTGCCTTGTTGCCAGAACACCCCCAGGGCTGTTAAGCTGCAGCCCAGACACGTGCAAGTGCCCCCGGCACTGTGCTGCCCCAGGAGCCACAGGAAGCTCAATGAACCCCCCCGAGGCCAGTGGGTCCCTTTTGGGGGGGTGCCCAGAACGGGTCCAGTGTGAGCCCCGTCAGCTCTGTGCTCCCATCCCCACAGCACCGGCCTTGCCCAGAGAAACTCTGCGAAAAGGAGGAAATCTGTTCAAAAAGAAGCAAAAAAAGCAGCTGAAAAGGTCACGGGCTTGGAGGTGCAGGAAAACGGGCGCAGGGATGAAATGTGCCCCATGGAGGCACAGCCGGGAGCACAGAAACTAAAAGTGAGAGGCTGCAAGTGGAGAAGGGGAAATGGTGCTGGGATGGGGACACGGAAGCCCCAAACAAGGAAGCATTAAAGTGTATAACGAAGTAACCCGCCCCATGGTGGGAGCAGCTTCCCCAGTGTGGGGCTGCGCGAGCATCACCTGCAGCATCCAGCCCTTTCCCAGACCCATAGCCCCTTACCCAAGCCCGGAGCTGCCCTTTTTGCCCTGTGAGCCCCCACCCCATCAGCAATGACTTGGGCTCTCGGGTGGGTTTTGTTTTCTGTCGCCCACCTTTGCGTCCGTGCGCCCTGAATCGCTGCTGCTCCTCGTTCCCATGGGGTCCCATCGCAGCATCAGCCCTCCTGCATCCTGAACCCGTGGCAAGAGGCAGGAGCAGCAGAACCCCGGCGTGCCGGCAGGAGCAGAGCAGGGGCTCCCGTTTCCTGGGGCACTGAGCCTGGCCTCACCGTTACCAAAAGTTTCCAGCCCTTGTGAGCAGCTTCCACAATAACCCAAACAGTTTACGCTGGGCCCGGGAGCCCGCATCCTGCTTGGGTCAGCGGGGCCCTTCTAAACAGTTTATGCATAGAGCAAGGGAACGGAGGGCGATCGCTCTTCCCAATGGAAAGCGAGGAATCTCATGGGATTTGTGGAGTTAAAGCTGTTCAGGGGTGCTGGTCCCGATGTCCGCTCCCGAAACCCAGCTGAAATCCACTGCTGCTTTCTGACGCAGCCGAGCTCCGTCCCCACCTTACCAAAAGGATTTAAACAGGGAGAAAAGGATTCTGGCAGCTTCAGCCCTTCACGTGCTGCAGTTGGCACTGGGAAGGCTCCTGGCTGTGCCACAACGAGCTGGGCAGGCTCAGTGCCACCGTGGATGCTGGGGCCAGCGACAGGAGAGGGCAGGGACCAGTGGCAGAGGGAAAAAAGTGAAAAATTGGGGGTAAAAACTGAAAACTTGGGAAAGAATTTGGAAAAGATGAAGTGCAGCGAGCGCCTGCAGCTGCTTCCTGCGGCCGGTGGGACAGGCACCTACAGCACCCTGAGAATGTCACCTACAGCGTCCTGAGAATGTCACCTACAGCACCCTGAGACTGTCACCTACAGCACCCTGAGACTGGCACCTACAGCACCCTGAGACTGTCACCTATAGCATCCTGAGACTGGCACCTACAGCACCCTGAGACTGTCACCTACAGCATCCTGAGACTGGCACCTACAGCATCCTGAGACTGGCACCTACAGCACCCTGAGACTGTCACCTACAGCACCCTGAGACTGTCACCTACAGCACCCTGAGACTGTCACCTACAGCATCCTGAGACTGTCACCTACAGCACCCTGAGACTGGCACCTACAGCACCCTGAGACTGGCACCTACAGCACCCTGAGACTGTCACCTACAGCACCCTGAGACTGGCACCTACAGCATCCTGAGACTGTCACCTACAGCACCCTGAGACTGTCACCTACAGCATCCTGAGACTGTCACCTACAGCACCCTGAGACTGGCACCTACAGCATCCTGAGACTGGCACCTACAGCACCCTGAGACTGTCACCTACAGCATCCTGAGACTGGCACCTACAGCGTCCTGAGACTGTCACCTACAGCACCCTGAGACTGGCACCTACAGCATCCTGTCACCTACAGCATCCTGAGACTGTCACCTACAGCACCCTGAGAATGTCACCTACAGCACCCTGAGACTGTCACCTACAGCATCCTGAGACTGTCACCTACAGCACCCTGAGACTGGCACCTACAGCACCCTGAGACTGGCACCTACAGCATCCTGAGACTGGCACCTACAGCACCCTGAGACTGTCACCTACAGCACCCTGAGACTGGCACCTACAGCACCCTGAGACTGGCACCTACAGATGTCCTGGGACAGTCCCTTACAGGGTCCTGCTGTAAATATCAACTCATTTCACAGGCAGTGACCATTCACTCTCTCCCGCGTGAATGAGCGTTCATAGAAGGCGTTTGTATCAGGCAGCAAGGGTGCCTGTAAAGTGCTGCAGAGGAGCCAAAGCCATTTCCAAGCCCCTAAGGAGTAAAGCAGTGGGATCGTACCTGCATTTTAAAGCTACGAATGCTTTTCGTTTCTTTCCTCTAAAAGCTGTTGGAACTACGTGGTCTTCAAGGTCCCTTCCAACTCAAACCATCCTATGATTTGCAAAGGCAAAGACATGGGACAGGGCTTTGCCTTGGCCAGCGTGTGCAGCTCCAGCCTGAAGCAGTGCGGCTGCACAGCCAACAGCGGAGGGAAGAGCCCAAAGCCCTTTCTTCCCACCCTGCAGCTCCCCCTGTTCAGGCTGGAAGCCGCATTTCCAGCTTGTTCCAATCAGTTTCCAGACTTTCACATTCCAGACAAGCCCCAGGGCTCATTAAAGCAGGAGTTTTCCTACTGTAACACTGTGGAACAAGCACTTCAACAGCTCAGCCGGTGGCTCTGGCTCGGCCGCACCGAGACCTCCTACGGGGAGAGAAGTGACTCTGGGTCCCCTCAGCAGCAGCAGAGCTCACCCTGCGCTCACGATGGACAAACTCATCCTATCCCAAGGCCCTTCCCATGGGGCAGCATCAGCGCAGCTGGGAACAGTCAGGAGAGGAAAGATGCTCGTCCTGGGCCCTTCCCTTCTCTGATCTCCATGGCAGGGCCACGGCTTTGGGCATGACGAAAGGGCTGGATGTGCCCCTCACCTCACTCTGAGGTGCTGCTGAGGATGGGTAATGGCCCTGCAGCACCCTGTTCTGGGGGTGACAAAGCAACGTGAGAGGAATACATCCACCTGTACCATACATACGTAAATAATATTGGCTAATCACAGGATCCCAGCCTGGTTTGTGTTAAAGGGACCTTAAAGCTCCTCCAGCTCCAGCCCCTGCCACGGGCAGGGACCCCTTCCACTAGAGCAGCTTGCTCCAAGCCCCTGTGTCCAACCTGCCCTTGAACACTGCCAGGGATGGGGCAGCCACAGCTTCTCTGGGCACCCTGTGCCAGCGCCTCAGCACCCTCCCAGGGAAGAGCTTCTGCCTAAGAGCTCATCTCAGTCTCCCCTCTGGCAGGTTAAAGCCATTCCCCTTGGCCTGTCCCTACAGGCCCTTGTCCCAAGCCCCTCTCCAGCTTTCCTGGAGCCCCTTCAGGCACTGGAGCTGCTCTGAGCTCTCCCCTTCAGGAGCTTTCTCCTCTCCAGAACACTTTTGCAGTCACAAGTGTTTGTGCCTGTGTGAGCAGAGCAGAACCATCAGGGCCCTGCAGTCCCCCCCCAGCCACATCCCTTGCCCCAGCAGCCAGCCCTGGCTCTGTCGGTGGCCGCCAGCAGCGCTGGCACGAAGCTGGTGGTTCCTTTGATCCCGATGGATCAAAGAGCTGTTTCCCCACCGCAGCGCGGCCGCAGCGTGCCCAGACACTCCATGGTCAGCCAAGGGAGGAGCAGGACGTGCCCTGTCACACCCCGGCTGCCCCTCGGCTCCCACCCTCCGGGTGCTTCCCTGTGCTCAGCTTCCCTTCCTGAAAAACACCCCAAAGCAGAGCACAGGGAGCTGGGAAAGGCAGCCCTGGGGCTCTGCCCCTGCAGCACGCGCAGGGAAGAGGTGTCCTGAGGGATGTGGGCACAGCCAGCCCATGTCCTGCTCCCGCTCGCCCTCATGGCCATGTGGGGTTTGGATGGAGCCCAGGCACTTGTGGGCTGCTTTGATTTATCCGGCGTGGGCAAGTGTCTGAGCTGAGCAAAGGCACAAGGAGCTGAGCAGCCTCTGAGGGAATGTGGAGACTCATGGGATATGGAGAGTGCTCCAGGAGGTGGTGTCTGCAAGGGAAAACCCACCAGGACCCGCTGCAGGAGCACCCAGTGGCAGCAGAGACCCGTGCCTGGGATTGAAGATCGACAGCATTCCATGTCTGGTGCCCTTGACACGTGGCTCCCAGGGATGTCCCCAGCCACATCCCATGCAGGGCACAGCAGTGACAAGGCCGTGTCCTGGCCCCTCTGCCCAGCCTCAAACAGCAGCAGCTCCAGCTGGCTGTCCTGCCAGGGGCTCATGGGGACGCTCAGTGTTTCCCTTCCCTGCCTGCTGCCATCTGGGCTCAGCCACTCTTTATCCTTCTTGGCTTTACCTGGAGCAATATCCTATAGGTTCACAGATGGGGATTTGTTATTGCCACAGCCTCTACAGCACAAGGGACATTCTAAGCATCACAGCAGAACACACCAAAGGGCTCCCAGTGCCACACCAGCACCAGCCAGGAGCGAAGTGCCACAGGGAAACAGGAACACGTGCTCCCACCTGCAAGGGAAAAACAGGAACATGCCCGAGGGGAAGACAAGCACCACACTCTGCTGCCTGCAGCTGCACAAAGTGTGAGCCTGGCGGCCCTTTAGGCACTGTCAACACAGGTTAAATGTTAAATAGGGTGATGTGCAGCCCTTGCTTTCCGTGTTGCAGGAGTCTCTGTGCCCCTGGAGGCACAGCCGTGAGGCAGTTGCTATCTCAGCTCCAGCTCCTGCCCACAGGCTGGGGTAGAAGATTCAGCAGAGGACAAAGACTCCCTGGGCTGTGGGAACAAATTTGCTTCACAGAAAGCAAGGTGTTAGTACACCCCCCCCCCCAGATTCCCCTGCACCCTATGATCCGTGTTCCTCCTGATGAGCCAAACTCACCGGACTGAGGAAGCCTGAATGCTGTGAAGGGGAGACAGAACGGACCCCCCCTGCTCGATACCCAGGTTGGGACACAATGTTTAACCAGGGGAGCTCAAGGATTCTCCCATCCAGCTGCCTCGTTGATCTCAGTGGTGCCAGAAACCCCAAAGCTCCACCAGATGATGGCTCAAGGGCAGCCCTGTGGTGCTGGGAGATGCGTATCCATGCCACGGTAAAGCAATCCTACCACTGCCTCAATAATCCACTTAATTATCCTCCCGGACCCAACTGCTTGCCCTGAGGAACTGCTACATCTCATTCATTTAAAGCATTGCTCATCCCACAGTGAAATTATTCCACCCAATTTAAGAGTTCCAAACAAGGAGAAGCAGGCCCTGGAGTTCCTCCCATGTAAGCCAAAGGAGACAGCATCAGCCCTTGCTCCTGTGCAGGGTCTCACCCATCACAGCTAGATGCAAGACGCTGCTTTAGCCACACAAAGAGACCCAGAGAGCAACTGGAGCCAAGAGCCCCCTCCAAAACCTCCTGGGGACAGATGAGACCCAGGGAAAGGGAGATGGTGCCTTCCAGACGGGGGATTTTCCTCCCTGCCCTTCCAGCATGGGAATGCTGATGCCAAGCGTGAAAAGAGGAGAGGAGAGCTGGTACCATCTGAAAAAGGAGACTGCTGGCTTTTATTAACCAGTGAAGTGGGCCCAGACACATAAGGGAGGAAAAGCAAAGCAGGGAGCAGCCCCAGACCCAGGAGTTGGGGTGTGCATGGCCCAGAGTGCTCCTGAGCTGTCTCCATGTGGAAAAGGACACCCATCCAGGGAAGAGGGCACAGAGAAAGTACCCAGAGCTGGGTGGCACCAGGAGGTGAGCACAGGCCCGGAGCAGGGACACTGGCCCCCTTAGTTGCAGTTCTTGGGCAGGCGATAGACACCTCCGGAGTAGATGAGCTGCTGGTCCCGGACCTTCTTCTGGAGGAAACCCTGGAGCTCTTGGATATCGATTTCTGTCACCACGGGGCCTGTCATCACAAACATCTTCAGCATGCTGTGAATCCTCTCCAAGGACAGGCTCTCCAGGTTGGTCAGCATGGCCTGGATGTACGTCCAGAACAGCTGCAGGGGACACACAGCAACAGTAAATCACACGGTCGTCTGTACCAGGAGGAAAGGGGTGCTTTAGCATCCTGCATCCCAAATGCAGAGCAGGGCTGGAGCTGGCAGCAAGTTCTGCTCTCAGCCATGAGCGTTTGGTCTTCAAACAGAACCGCATCAGGTGCTGGGACACACAGCAGGGCACTTTTCTGGAGGGAAGGCTGCAAACCAGCACATGCACCAACGAGCGTTAAGAGATACCCACTTCAAACACCCTCCAAAAACCTGGACTTGCCATGGAAACTGCAAATCCAAAATGCATCACCTTAATCAGATTCCCCAGTCCCAAAAGCAGGGGATGTTTGCATCATCCTGCTGCCTTTGCAGGCAGCCAAGACACACGGACAGTACCTGCAGCTCTTCCTCTTTCTGGTCAGCCTGCGAGGCCATGGCAGAGTCCCCCTCCTCGTCACTGTCTATCAAAACAACCTTCTCCACCTGGTCCTTCTGCTCCTCCTCAATCACAGTGAAGGTGCCCTGGGGCTCCTCTCGCAGGACACCCTGCTGCAGCCACAGCGTCATCTTGCGCTTCAGCGACGTCACGGGCACCTTGAGCACCTCACTCAGCTCCGTCAGTGTCCATGTACCTGCAGAGAGCACGGGTATCAGAGAAGAGAACAGGACACCTGCCCACCCCCAGCGTGCCAGGGCTTGGTAAGAGGATGGGGAAGGCTGGGGAGCCGCTGTCAGGAGCGAGCAGTGACTGCCTGAACACAGAGCGCTGAGCTGGGGCCCTGCTGGGTGCTGTCTCCTAGGAGAGCCGGAGACCTGGCTGAGCGCTGTGGCAGATGCAAGTCCATGAACCAGGCCTTGGTCCTGCTCTCAGAGCCTTCAGCTACCCCAGGACCACGGCCTTCCCCTCCACCCCTGGGAAGCTGACAGACACGGGGGTAACACCGAGCCGCTGCCACTCACTCTTGGTCTGGAAGTGCAGAATGATGGCAGCGTGCACAGGAGACACAGACAGCGAGAGGGTGCGATCCGCCAGCTCCACGTCCAAGCTCACCAGGCCCAGGTGGTACTTCCAGTTCAGGGTCCTCATGGCCTGGAAAAGGGGAAGCAGCCGCTCACAGCAGATCTTCCAGCAGGAACCACTCAGTGCTGCGTTACTGCAAATGCCCCTCTGCACG